GGCAATCATCATGCTGTTTTGCAATGATTACTTCTCTCATTTGTCTTCTTCCACTAGAAAAATAGCATCTGGAAAAATGCTGTACACTCCTGGGATAGCTTCTTACCTCAAAAAACTTTAGATAAATGAACAAAGTGGCATCATGAAAGTTTCATGTCTTAGAACTTCAAGTGATGGGGGGAATCGACTATGTGATAACATTATGGGTAACTGATAGCAGCAATATATCTGGTATGGGGAAGCATAGTAAATCTGATGAGTTTAGTGAATAAAAATAATCACTTTGTTGGTGAGATGGAGAACCATAGCTCAGGCTTTCTGATTGCCTGTCTGAACCTCTTCCTGCATCATTACTACCTCATTGTCCTTATGTACATGTTAAGTGAATTTTGCTAAAGTAATATATTACTTTTATTGAATATTTGACATGGTAGGAACAGATACCAAAAAAAGTCAGCATACAATACATTTAAAAAGAAAAACATTTGTATTACTTTTTCTTACATTTATGTAATTGTTATGCCTTAAGATTTATTTGTCTTTAGAATAGTATGGTAATTATTAAAATTCTGACTAGGATGAGAACTTATTTGTCTTAGTAATCAGGCATGAGAATTAAGGAGTACTTAGTATATTTTTATTATTCTACTGGAAAGTAAAAAAACAAATAAACTGGGAAACCTTTTGCTTACCTACTCCAGTTAATATACGGAGCTTACCTAAACCAAGTGCTATAACATAGTTGCAGCTTTCAATGTTTATAATTATCTCTACTTTATGAGCCTTATTAATGTAGGCATCTGACTATATTACCAAATCCTGTGACTCAAAGTGAAATATCTTTCTCAGGATCTCCCTCCTTTGCATTTCCACTAGTTCTGGGCTAGTTATAATTTAGACAAACCTTTAAAATATAGATTTTTGTTTTTATTGGTTGATTTATGGATTGATGGCAGTGCTGGGAATTGAACCCGGAGTCTCATGCCAGCAACAGACAGTGTTCTATCCCTGAGCCATACCTCCAACCCTAACATATACAGTTTTAGTTTAAGAAAACAATGTTCACATATTGTGAAAATGAAAACACACATAAAAATATCTCTGCTCTCCTCCCCAGTCATGCTCTATTACCTAAGCTGCTTTCGTGGGCATGTGATCTGGACAGTCTCACAGGGCTTGTGCTTGGAAGAGTTCTGTGCTTGGTTTATTGTCCCACCATTGCATTGGGATTCTTAATAATGTTTTAACACAGGGTCCTATATTTCATTTTGTACCCTACCCCTCCTCCACTCCTCTCCACCTATTGCATTCACTCTTATCAATTTGTTACTTCCAGAAATTCTCTGTGGAGGCAAGCATGTTTGTTTGTATGCATTAGGTTTTACATCAATGGGATTATTCTATAGAATAATTATTCTATATTCTATATCTTGATTATTATTATTATATCTAGGTTATTCTATATCTTGCTTTGTTGCATGTTGGAATTTTTCCATAAACAGCCTCAGTCTCCCTAGCATCCATTTCCTTCTTAGGCAGTTTCCCTTCTGCTAAGGGAAGATCTTTCTAGTCCTGGTTATGCCACTCCTCTGTTAAAAGGGGACAATGCTTCTCTGTTTGTATATAAAATAAATTAGAATCTTGGAAAACAAATCAGATTCGTAGGACTAGTGCCAGTGTTTTGGAAAATGTGAGTTTCTGAGCACACAGGTCTCAAGGAAGACTCTGGACTAGGTGAAGTAATACAATTAGCCCTCTCTGTTAAGCAGGAAGCTGGTTGGTCTCTGCTGGAGTCACCTAATCTGAGCATAGGAGACTATTGACTTTGCAACAACCAATGTTTATTGCTAACGAGTAGAAAAAAATGATCCACCCTCCTTACCACTATCTTTATTTTATTTTTTAATATTTATTTATTTATTTATTTATTTTGTGGTGCTGGGAATTGTACCCAGGGCCTTGTTGCGTGTGAGGCAAGCACTCTATCAACTGAGCTATATCCCTAGTCCCTTACCATTATCTTGTACAGTTGTTAAAAATCAGCTAAGTCCAAAAGGACTTAAAAAGAGCATAATTCAGGGGCATAGCCACATCAATGTTTATAGCAGCACAATTCACAATAGCTAATCTGTGGAACCAACCTAGATGCCCTTCAGTAGATGAATGGATAAAAAAAATGTGGCATATGTACATAATGGAATATTACTCAGCAATAAAAGAGAATAAAATCATGGCATTTGTGGGTAAATGGATGGAGTTAGAGAAGATAATGCTAAGTGAAGTTAGCTAATCCCGCCCCCCAAGAAAAAAAAAACAAATGCTGAATGTTTTCTTTGAATTAAGGAGGCTGATTCATAGTGGGATAGGGAGAGGGAGCATGGGAGAAATGGACGAACTCTAGATAGGGCAGACAGGTTGGAGGGGAAGAGAGGGGATCATTACTATACAAAGTACGTGTGTGAAGACACGAATTGATGTGAATATACTATGTATACAACCAGAGATATGAAAAATTGTGCTCTATATATGTAATAAGAATTGTAATGCATTCTGCTGTCATGTATCATTAAAAAATACATAAAAAAGAAATTACTAGAGACTGTGATATGGACTGAATTCTTATGTCCCCTCCAAATTCATGTGTTGAACTAGTAACTCACAGTGTGACCATATCAAGAGGTGAAAGCTCAGGAGTTAATTATGTTTATTTAGAAGGATCATGAGCCTCCACGATGAAGTTGTGTCCTTATAAAAGAAAGAGACCAAAGCTCTTTCTCTTTTTACTGCATGAAGACTACAGGAAGGCAGTCACCAGAAACCAGGAAGAGGACTCTCACCAGCACCTGACCATGCTGGCATCCTGATCTCAGACTCCTCAATATCTAGAGCTGTAGGAAATATATATCTGTTTTTGAGCTACCCAGTTTATGGTATTTTATTAAAGCATTCCCAGCTAAGGCAGGAAAGAAGGCTTTTAGCTTTCTATAAAATAAATTAATCCATAGTAGAGGCTTAAATATAAGTAGCTCATGTTTACTTATTATTTTACAGATGAAGAAAATGAGCTGAGAAACAATACGTGTCCCATCCCAAACCACAGAATTTAGCGATAAACTTAATATCTACTGCTTTTCAGGTTAATAAACTGTGACATCTTCTTGGAATTTTACTGAATACTCTAAATTCTGAGGTCAGAATGGTATTCTGAGTTTAGAGACATCTGGTCAGTGTGGCAACAGTGATTGTCATGGCTTCTCGTGCTGTGCTTCTAAGCTATGAAGGGTGGATGTCCAAGCTGAGGGTTCAAAGTGCCTGAGTCACAGCCATTCCCATGCTTCTGCAGTGACTGCGAATTACCCAATCTCTCAGAACTTGAATTTTCTTAAGAAGAAAAATTATTACTAATATTATTCTACTAATAATATTAATATGTTATTGTTACAGAGTTATGATTAGGAGTAAAAAATATTTTAATTCATTCATTTACTCAACCAATATTTATTTATTTGTTGGTGTTGCAGTTTAATCCCAGACAGAGCCTTGCACATGCTAAGCATATGCTCTAGCACTGATCTAAATCCTCAGCCTTACAAATATTGAGGGATGATTATGTATCAACAATTGTGCTTAGCAATCAGGTTATAGCAATGAATCAAATACATTCCCTGCCCTCATGAAGCTTACAGTCGGTTGGGATTTAAGGTATAAGAAGGTTAGCCACATCGTTCCCCACACAGAATCAATGCTCAGTTAATATTACTGACGGCAACATAGGTTTCTAAGTAATTGTTTTCCTTTTTTTCCCTTTTGTACAAATTAATATTGCTGCTTTATCAGTAGAGATATCCTTAATTGTGAAAACTGAGGCATTTCTATTGAAATCATGAAGAAGATATCTTCCTGTTGTGCCCCCACTTCCTGTCATGCTTCTTAAACCAGTTGCTAGCAGAAAATTTGGCTAATATTCTATCCACGGGGTTTTTTTTTTTTTTTTTTTGAACCAGTGGCAAATATAGACCCATATCTCCAACCCTTTTTAAATATTTTATTTAAAGCTACAGTTTCACCAAGTTGCTTAGGGTCTCACTAAGTTGCTGAGGCTGGCTTTGAATTCATGATCCTCCTGCTTCAGCCACCCTCCTTGCTAGGATTACAGGTGTGCACCTTCACACCCTGCCTCCCGGTTTTTTTTTTTTAATGCATAAATATAATTTTGTAAAATTCAGCTTTTGAAATCATGCCCATGTGTGAGATCTTACACACAGTGTATAAGGAAATGTTCATCTAATAAAAAGTACTTGAAAAATCTGGTGAAGATTACTTACTTGGTGTTATTAAGCAAGCATCTCAGTCTATGAGCCCGTTTCGCATGTCTGAGAGTTCTGCCTGACTCTACCTACTCAGAGCATGCCTAGCAAGAAGACAATGCATGTCCAAGAAATCAGCTTAGAAGCCTCACTAAAGGGAAAATCAGTCTAGTGAGGTCCATGTGAGACCTGCCCAGGAATGCGAAAGAAGATCAGCAAGGTTAGAGGGTAAAAACAATTTGCCATGCACTTGGTAAGTTCTACAAGAAGTGCGTTTTGCATGCATTTGATTTCTTGAGCTGAGCTACAGATGTCTGTCTTAACAGCAGTGCCCCAAGAGCTGCGGTTGACAAGGCCAGCTGCTCGGAACTGCCAACTGTCAGTTGACGTGGCAAGCTCCTAACAACTTGTGCTGCAAGAACAGCATGGAATTGGGTCAGCGCAGGACACGACTTTAATATCCTCCATCTGTCAAGTAGACTGATGGAGATAAAAATGAATATTTTGAGCAAGAATTGTTAAAGCTCTTCTATGATACCATCTACATATAATTAAAAAGCCAAGTTGCATTCAATTAGTTTCCTCTGTGAGTGAAGGCAACAAATTGGTCTAGAATATACAACCACCTGGTTTTTAGAGCTGCAGACAGAAAAAATTGAAGGCTTCCCCGACAGGACTGGATGCAGCACCTACCTTCCTTCCTCCCAGGCACTGCTGGAGCTGAGGCTTAGTTAGGACACCATGTTGGCAGTTGTGGGGCTGCCAAGTTATTTCTCTCCAGTCACAGGTCCTGTTGTCTGAACAACTAAGGCAAGGCACGATCCACTGGCCTGGAACAGATGGTAAAACTTCCTTTGGTTTGGTTTCTACTGGCAAAATTATAGTTTTCAAGTAACTTGAGAATCCAGCGTATGGCACACAATTATAGAAATTATAGTGAGAAGATTATTCTTATCATATAAATCCAGTGGAGCAATGCATGGCCTTCTGCCAACCAAATAGAAGAGCTGAAGTAATGTTCTGAAATAGCACAGCTCACGTTGAAATTAAGTATGAGCTCTGTTCCATGAAACCATATACTTACATCAAAAAAAAATATTAAGTGATCAGGTACTACTCAATTATTACTTATTTTTAAACAGTATATCACTGCTCCTTTAATCAATAGGAATGAAGTAGATTAAGAGCCCTTCAAATTGTTAGTGGGTCCCAAATATATAGTAAACTTATACATTCTTAGATTGCTAATCCAATAATAGATATTTTCCCTGCTCTCAATAGATTTAAGGTACAAGAGAACTACTTCTGTATTCTGATATTTAATTATTTTGGAGAAAAGCTATTAATCCTCAATTTGATTAATGTGTTTTGGTGTCAATCTTTTCAGCTCTTTCTGGCTGAAGGTTTCATGACCTCAGGGATGTCATTTCTTCACCTGTTAGATGAGATGTATCATGTTCTCATATGATTGGTGTGAGGATGTAATGGAATAATATACTTAAAGGGCTTAGTTACCTGCAGACTTCCCCTACTTTTTTGAATTAAGAAAGAAAACAATTTAAAAACTTCATCCATTCTGGGTCTGATTTGTGGTGCTGCTAGTAAAAGTCTCTAGTGTGATATGAATTTTAGTGGGAAGAATTTCTTTTCAGGGCATGAATATAATACATTTCACATTCATGACCTCAGGGATGTCAGAGCTGTGTATGTGTTTGTGGAAATAGTTACAAATAATAAAACATAAAAGGGATTATAGTTTATAGCTTGTATTGATTCATCACGGAAAGGAAAAAAAATATGAGCATTTTAGAGAGAGAAACTGGAAGAGAGAAAAGAAAATACAAGGCAAAGGAGATGAGAAATTATGAATTTCAAGGAAAGGAAGAAAATATATAACAGAATCACTTTAGGGGTACAAAATCAACTGGAGCAGAATTGCAGAACTAAAATTCAAAAGCAATGCAGACATATTAGTTCCTTTTGCCATTTTTTTTCTTTTGCTTTGCTTTGCTTTTTCAGTGTAATGAGAATTCCAGAAGAAAACTGTTTCATTCAATGTCTACTCACTCTGTACTTTCTACACAATTTCAGAACTGGGGAGTGACACTCTATTTCTCCACATACACATCACTCAACCAACGTTTTTTTAATTTAATACATTAAGATCTATCCTGTTGAGGTGTTAGGAGCCATTGTTGTTAAAATATCATAGTAATTTAAAAAACAGGATTTTAATTGCATCTCCATATACCAGAGAGTGCTTTAATATATTAACTAATTTAAACTTCAAACCTATCCTATTATAACCACCTTAACTGATGTTCAGAAAGTTTAGCTTGTTGACCTCCAAGAACCAGGATTTGAACTGGACTATCTTTCTAGGACCCATGTTCTTAACTATAATTCTGAGTACTCAAAATTGATATTTGGGTTCAAGGGATATAATTTATACATGTAAAATAATTATACCATCATAACAAGAAATGTAAAATTGACCGTTATATCTGTGTGGTAGTGAAAGAGCCTAGAATTTGGAGACACACACATCTGGTCTCTGTTGCCTCTAACAAATCCTGAAGACCTCAATATTGATTGCAAATTAGCATTACCCAGAAAGCTTTTTAAAATACCCATACTGGGGTTGTACCCCAGACTGATTATGTCAGAATCACCAGACATGGGACTGTTCTTCCTTGATTCCAATACAAAGTCAAGGCTGCAATACACTGTTTAAATTAGTCTTTTCATGATTCAACATGCTTCTTTGTAAGGAAAATAAGTACAGTACCTGACATGATGCCCGACATCCAGTAGTTAATGAATATATTTTACTCCCACATCCTAACGGCAAGCAAGCCAAAGCAGTTTAGAATCAAGAGAGTCAATAAGGTCAGAGTTTTCTGGAAGCATAAAATGTGAACAGGACTTTATGGGTAGATAAGATTTGGAGACATGGAAGGCATGGTACTTTAGGGTACTCTTTACAGTGAAGAGATGGGCCTTAGAGATGTGAGGCAAAAGAACTGACAGACCTCCACATAGATGGCATATTTTGGCGGGAATGTGGAGGAAGAGGGTCTGTTAGGTGAAAGGTATTTCCAAAATTTCCAGATGGAGAAAGTAGTAATATTATTAAAAGACAGAAATTTTGGGATGTGTACTGGTTTTGAATGGAGAAATTCAGGTTATCCTCAAATGTGCCCATTTCTCTTTGCCAATTCTTTTTATAATTCTTCTCTCTTTTCATTCAGAATATATCTTGATACCTTACTCCAATTTTGCTCTAACATACATGGTTTACAATCAGTAAACAACCTCATTCACATCTGTAGCTCCTTTAATACTCTTTGATTAGACATAACCTAAAGTTTAATATTTCTTGATGAATTCCCCCCCAGTAAACTTCCTTGGAGAAAGGCTTAGTCTTTTCATTACGGAAATTTGCATTCAGCAATGTGCAGAATTATTTTGGTTAGAGCAGAAGACACTTCAGCTCATTTTCCCATCCTCTTGTTTTATAAATGAGGCAAACTAGGGCCCTAAAGAGTTAAAGGACATAAAGTGGGGTCATGCTGTTCCTGACAGGGCTGGACCATTACCAAGAGTCTGCAACTTGCTCCTCTTTTATCATGTTAGGCAAGGTCAGCATAAAACCATCAGTCGAAAATGAAATATGGCCCAACAGTCTCTTTGGTAGCATTTATAGGAAAACCCGCAAACTGGTTGTTATGATGATTTTTCCTTTATTTTATAAAAACTGAATTTACTCAGTGGGTTCATGGGTTGATAGAGACTATGTTTAAACAAAGATTGTCAATTTTCTTTATAATAGACAACAGGACATTGGGATCATAAATGTTTCTCTGAACATTTTCATCAGATGGCCGAGTATCTAAGCGAACATGCATCCCACCTCTAACCCAGGCACTCTCCACCCACAACCTTACTGACAGCTCATTTTTCACAAACAGGCCCTCCTTGGCCACTTGCTGATAAGGATGAAGAAACAAGTGGTCAATTGAATGCACAAAGACTCAAATATGGGTGTAATTAGTTTGTGGGCATAACATTGCGTGCACATAAAAAGGAGACTTGAATTGGTCTCTGAAAACTTGGCCCCAATGGTTCACACTACTATATATTTATACAGTCATAACTTTTGCATTTTTGTATGGGTGAACAATGCCTTTTATTTATTGTGGGTTACTGATACTGCTTGCAATAGCCATCTGTATAACATCTGCAGGATTGGGGTTCTTGACATTTTAAGTGACACCAGCTCTTAACTAAAATTGCCAGAAAAAGGGACATAAATTCTACGTTATATATTTAAACACTGAATGAATCAAAGCTGTGATTTCTGAAATAAAGTATGACATATGTTTTAAGGAATAACATTCTGCTGAATGAAACTATCTTTTAGAAGAAGTTATTTTATTTTTAGTTATAGATCTATGTTTAATGCAAACTAGATTTTAGATATTTAAGCGAATCAAAGTGGTTGATACAACTCTGTGATTCAGAACTGTGGTGAGATGTAAAGTCATATAAATGCTATCACTAATTCCTGTCTCTCTAATATTATAAAATAAAGTGTTTTTTATTATGAAGAAAAAAATATCATTTATATATTCAATATGAATAATGTTAGATTTATGTCATGTTTCCCTGCTAAATATAAGGTGTCATGAAATATTTTAATAGTTTTCATATCATAAAATGCCATTTGAGTTATTTTCCTTAAAGTTAAATATCATTCATTAACTACTGTATACATTCCTTCTTTCTCCAATTTAGAAGAATTGCTTCTTTCTTAAGCAATCCTTAAGATTATGTCTTAGTTGAATTATTTCCTAAATGATTGACATCAATTTAAGAATTAAAATATATTCAAAAGTACATTAGCTAAAGCTAATGAAAAAGACTTTTGACATCATTACATTGCAAAGTGGAAAAAAAATGCATCCAGTTTTGCTGAGTAAATGTCATGTGCTCTTTAAGATTTTTGAACATGACTGTTGGCTATGTTTGGCTATGTAAGCTAAACCTAGAGCACCTGAATAAGCTTCCTTTCAGTGTCACCTGCCATGACTTCTTTCATTAGGAGGGAATCCTGCTATTAAGGAAGGAAATTATCTCTGGCATCAAAAAAAAAAATACATTCTTGGAAGTTACCATCCTGGTCTCACTTGTTAATTTTGAGTTTTTAGGCCTTTAGGAGCTCCAGTGGGGAGAAGTTTATCCTTATCATTGTGTCCTGGCTGCTCACAATCTTCTGTGGAAGGGAGGATGGTTTGGATCTTAGTTTTAGTTCAGCAACCATTTTTAAGACATATATTAGACATTGAAGGATGAACAGGAACAACGTGTACCCTGGGAAAACAAGTAATCTAGGGAAACCATCAGTAGAAGCATTACTGCTCATGCACCCTTGACATCTATTATACGTACATTGTAACACGTGTATAGATATGTTGACACTTATATATTATGTCCATTATAAAACATAAAAATAAAAAAGGCTAGAAAAAAAAGCACACATCTATTTGTATCTGTACTGACTTCACCTCTGGGAGTGCCTCTTGCCGATCCCTCCCCTTCCTGGTGTGTATCATTCCGTTTTGGAGATCTCTGATCATAGACCATAGAGAGGAACTTGTAAGTACCCACTTCTAAGTGCTATCGTAAATCTGTGCCCAGGAGTGCTGTGGAACACAGAGGTGACACCAAACTAGCAATCTGGTAGAGAAGAAAGGCTTCTTGGAGAGGGGGATAAGCATCAGAGGAAGTTAGGCAATGGCAGGAAGAGGACTTGTAGTGTATGGGAACAGTGTGGATGTGAGCCTGGAGTCCTGCCTGGAGCAGAGTTGTTGGAATATTTGAGGCAAGGAGGCTGGAGATGAGAGAGAGAAGAGGAACTGGTATAAGGAGGCCTTGAATTTTTAAGCAAAAGAGCATGAGCTTGATTTGGCAGTCAATTAGGAGATCTTTTCAGAGGGCCCAACTGACAGCCTCTCCTGGAAGGTCCTAACACAGAGACAGCACACAACCAAACCTGACATAAGGGACGGCACGTTTAATGTGCAGAACAAGCTGCCTTTTCTTGAGGAATCCCAGTAATGTATCTTGAACTTATTGTGGAAGAACTTTTGACTTGGTGCAGTCAGAGGAATAGAATTAAGTTGTTTTATGATTGTCATAAATTGTCAACTGATTTAAAAAAAAATAGTTAACCAGACACATCGGTATCTCCTTTGTACATTAAGAGTACGTGTTTCCTTTAGCAGAAAATCACAAATCATACTACCTGACACACCATAATGGGTAAATCCCTTCTCATACACTGACTGGAATTTATTATTTAGAACACATGTCTAAGAATGGGGACCTGCCCACGTTGGCTAACCATGCATGCCAAATTGCAATTTGCCCTGCCCATTTGGGAAACACATTTCCTATTCAAGCAGTGGTGTGAAGTTCATGGCAAGCTCCTGAACATTTTCTCAGACTTGCTAGATGAAGGGAGACCAGGGGCCAGGAAGACAGAATGGTAACTGGGAAGCTTGGAGAAGCTGCTCCCTGCTCCCATAATCACTTTGGATGCAATTTTAGTCCCAGCTTTTGCTTGATGCCACTCTCTGCACTGAGAGACCATCGCTAGGGAAGGAAAAACAGGGAATGGGGAGAGTGGCACCAAAGATGTGTCTCATTCCAGTTCTGCTCAAGGCTTAGGCAGGATATAAGACTGTAATTTGGATTCAAGGTTTTAATTTTCCTACTTGTAAGTGGGAGAGCAGTAATGATCCTTCTCAAGAATTCTTTAAAATTAAAAGAAATTCTTTCTAACTGAACCTAAAGCCTTTGTAGTTCTTTGATTCATCACTGATATTTATTCTCTGCCTACTATGTACAAATAGTGGCGCCAAGTTAATTGATATGATATCAACAAGTCAGACACCTTGCCGTCCTGAAGCTAATATCTTGGGAAAACTGACATCTAACAACTAGCTACATAGCTAATTCTTTAAACAACTGTGATAATTACTATGAAAGAAAAGTACAGTGCTGTGAAATAAAAAAGGAAATGGGTTTGAGGATTAAGGAGGGGTCCCTGGCAGAAGTAATTCTTGAATTGAGATTTGCAGATAAGCAGAAGGTACTTCAAAGTGGGAAAGATGAAGAGAAAAGAATTTGATTAATCAAAATATATTGAATATTAAAATCACGCATTTATATTTTTATGTGTATTGTAGTTCATACTAATGAAAAAATTTATGCCTTTTTTCTCTTACAATGATAGTGTAAATAAGCTTATACTTATCTACATTAAATTTTTAAAGAAGAAATTATATCCAAAGTGATAGTCACCTTTTATGTCCCCAGATGGACACATCTTCAGTTCAGGGTGTGAAATGGCTTCAATGTACTCAAGAGAAATAGGTTGTAACCCACAGTTCTCCTCTGGGTGAATTAACAGGCCACAATCCTGCATTAAAATGATAGAGATTAGTTGTCATAGTAATTAACCAGACTCATAGTAAATCTAAAAAATCTAAGTGGATACAGTTGGGGAAGTTAGAAAAAAAGGCGATATCAATATATCTGGATATACTTTGTACATTTTATGGAACAAGAGAACAGTGGTGTATATTGGGAAAGAGAACTACTGTGCTCAGAGTAGCACCTTTGAATTTTAGATTCAGCCATGCCATGAACTGGTTATGTAATTAAGTCACTTGATCTCATTGCTCACTACAAAATGATGAAGGGTGGAGAAGGGAAAGAATGGTATCAAAGATGTTAAGTACTGTGTCAGACTGCATTATGGCTGCACACTCTCCACTCTTCTACCTTTCTTTCTTGTAATGGAAAGACCCTTTGTTGTTGGAGGAAACTATGGGCCCAACATTTAAAAATTCTATTTCTCAGTGTTAACGGTGGTTATGGAACACAGTTCCAGCCCCCCCCCCCCTCAAAAAATGAACATCATCTCTGGGTTTCTGGAAAAGCTTATTTCCCTGATGATACTTTTTCTTTGTTGCTCCATTTCTTTTCCTTGGGATGCAAACATGAGCATGGAGGATGAGCAGCTATCTTGGGACCATGAGGAATCCATGAGCAGAACAAACACAATGATACAGTGGAGATTTAGGGCCAACTTTGGGCTGCCTACCTCTATCCTTTTTTCCTATGTTACAAATAACTAACTCCTACTTGGTCAAGCCACTATAGAAATGTAAGATGCAGCCAAAATCCTCTCTCCCTGTAAGAGTTCATAAAACATTCTTTTCAGACTGTACAAAATTTTTGAATATTTTTTAATCCTAAAAGTGATTAATCCCATTTGTAGAATTTTAAAAAACAATCTGGAATGAAAAAGCTCATTAGCAGTTCTCACTTCCTTCTTCATTGAATGATTACAAATTTGGTGAGATATATTCACAAAATGAAGGACAGCTCTTTTTGTTGAGCCGCAGCATTTATATATGTACGAAAAACCCCAAACAAACAGTATTTAGGAGAATTGTTTAAAATGCCCTTAATCCCAGAAATATCCACACTTGGAGTTTTGCTGGAGCCCTCACAAAGGGAATCCCATCTCCTAAGCAGCTTGTCACAGTTCTCACTAGAGTTCAATAAGATAATGAGAAGGGATTTTCTTGTTCCACACTGTGCAGAGTACATACGTTTAGTATGTGATTTAAGAAATTCATGGACCACTGCAGTAATGGCATTACCAACGGGCACTACCAGGACCCTAGCTGTGCCTTTGTTGGACCCATTAATACATGACTACTCTTTCTTGTTATAAGTTTCTCTGGATGCCCATTTCATTCCTTACCAAGGAGCTTGCCCAGAAAGGAATAAGTAGTATTTCTCATTTTGTGTGTGTGTGTGTGTGATATTACTGTACTTTTAGAGCAATACCAAGTTGGACCATTTAAACTGGTAGATAAATATCTTTAAACTTTACCTCCCTTTATTGACCCCATGGGATCACATTTTTAAGATGAAAAAGAAATCTCTTCTCTCTAAATAGTTTAATGCACCCACCTAACTTTTAAAATACCCTTTCACCTCCTGCAGCACCCAGATCATTCCATAGGGACCCATTTGCTCACCTTCCCCTCAACTCCTATCATGTCTCATGAGTCAGTAAAATGTGCTGGCCTGGCTGCCCCCTCCTGAAAGGCAGGCCTTCTTCCAGAGATGCCTGTTACTTTCCCCACAAGAGATGATGTTGCTGGGGAGTTTGCTGAATTATCAACACACCTGGGCTCAGCTTTCTTTGGGACTCCATGATATATTTCCCCAAATGTTCTGTTGGAGTCTTGAGCAAAGGCATCTGCTGGCATCTTGGATTCTCTGACACCCATTCAGAATAAGGTCTTATAAAACCTGGAAACTAGCAGATTCCATCCCATCTTAGACCCTCATGCCAGAACCAAATTGCCATGCTGCTGCCCATTTCCTCCCCTCTAATCCTGCATGGGACACATTCCTCCCCTTAGGTATATCTTCTCATGTTCTCACTGGTCCTCTGCCTTTCCTACCCAGGGCAAGCAAGCCCTTCCACAACCCTCAAAGGCTTCCTACAATTCCCTCCAATTTCCCTGGGGAAAGACAACTTGCCGTGGTATAGCCATCTCCAGGAAAGGCTGCCTGATGAGTCCCTCAGCAATCCCAGCACAGTCAAGAGGTTTACCTTCTCCTGTGACCCAGCTGCTGCTTCCAAACCATCTTATTACCTTTTGCTCTGGTTCATTTTCCCTGGATCCTTCCTGTGGCTGTCTTCTACCAACATTTTTATTTTGTGTCCGTATTTACCAGTGTAACACCTTGGTTTATCAATCTCTCCATTTTGCAATTTGCCATTCTGTTCATATGAACCCATTTTTTTTTCATTCAACCGTATATTTGAACAAACTTCAGACCTTTTCATTCAAGCCATAGATGCTCTACTTTCCATCTTAAGTTTGAATGCATTTTTTCCCAAATAAAACATACTTTTATGTCTTTATAGTGCTAGGAATTGAACCCAGGGCCTCATGCATGCTAGGCAAGCTATCTGGCACTGAGCCACATCCCCAGCCTGTTTTTCCTTTTGTTTTGAGACAGGGTCTTCCTGACTTGTCCAGGCTGATCTGGAACTTGTGATCCTCCTCATTCAGTCTTCTGAACGTCTAGGATTATAGGTGTGTACCACTGCACTTAGCTTAACATACTTTTCTTCTAACTTTATTCCTCCCTGTTCTTTAGTCATACAAGACTTCCATTCCCATGATTCTAATCCTGAATTTATGTCCGTACTATCCATTTCTAGTTCTTCAATTTTTATTTCATTGAAGGTGCATACAACAGTTTCAAGTCCTGTAACTATGCAATCTATCTCCATTCAAGTTTCCACATGCCATTCAGTGACAACGGAAAAAGTCACACATGTTAAGACAAATGCCATAAAAGTTTCTTGCTGGTCTTTCAATACTGCCTAATCTTTTCTCCATTATTTCTAGTTACGTCTCTATTATTCTAGTTAGAACCCTCTCTTTCTAGGATGACTTCAAATCTTCATCAATCCTCTTACCCTCCTCACTTCAGCATCACACCATTGGTCTCATTGGACAATCTTGTCTATTAATCCATGAAGAATATACAGCCCATGAGGCAGGAATTCGCTCAATTTCAACATACCTGATTACCAAGCACAGCTTGTTTGAGGATTTCTCTGCTGCTGCCCAGCCCTTCAAGTCTGGCCTTCTCCAGAGTTGTACCTTTGACTCTCCTCAGTTGCACTCCGAGACAGATAATTCACCCTCATGGCAGAATCACTCTTAATCTACACCCATGTCATTCTCATGAGTCCCAGAGACATAGTCACAGCATCCTGAGCATCTCAATTCATGTCTCATGAGTACCTCAATTTTAATGTAACTAGAACAGATAACACAGTTTGGGTCCAAATTCATTCTGATCTCTATTTTCCTTGCTTTCCTCTTTTAAAGAAAATGCTAATGCCAGGCCTCTTCTGTTTCTCTTGTAGTCAAGAGTGGCCTCTGACATAATTCTGGCCCATGAGCTACAAATGGAAATTTGCTGAGAATTGCAGGGAAAGCCCTTGCTTTTCTGATGCAGAGGCTGTTTCTCTCAAAATTTTCTCTATTTCCTTCCTTCCTGCTTCCTGGAATAGCGATCTGAAAACTGAAACAACTATCTTATGTTACAAAGGGAAGACCAAGAGAATTACGAAGAGTTCAGTTCTGACATCCTTGATCAGCTATAATCATAGGGCCTCTTGTTGTATAAGAAGTAAATACCTCTCATTTGTTCAAGTTACTCTTGGTCAGCTTTGCTGTTGAGAAGCCTCCTGCTCCTTTAGCTTTCCTCTGCCAGTGGTACCATCTGCTTGGATGGGTCAGAGTCTTGCTGACCATATATGGCTTCCTTTGGAAGCATCATGGATATTTCTATCTTCAATTAATCTCCTTTTCTGACTTTCTGTTGCATTTGTTGCGAAATTTTCATCAGGAAAGAATAAGATAGGATAGTTAATGGGTCCCAATTAGTGCGTGCTTTTTTTTTTTTTAATGTAAAGGATGCTCCATGAGATTACCTGTAGAAATATTCCAAACATTCCAGTCAACTTCTTTGTTCTTAGGTGATGGGAATAAAAGGGTAGAGGAGAACTGAGTAAAGACTACAGACTAAAGGGCCAACCTCCAGTCTTAGCACTTTTCCAATACCTAATTTATCATGGATTTTTATCAATGGGTAGGGACCCAGAAGCTATATAAGCCCTTAGACTAGCATGTTTAGAGTGAGAACCTGGTATAAAGTCCCCTTGTGCCTTCTGGGAGTTCTATGTCTTGTCTTTTCATTTAAATAAATCCTATTTCTTTCCCTCTTGCCATTCATTTTTGTTCATGGATTTCATTCTTTGAATCTGTGAGACAAGAACCAGGAAAAAAAAAATTGGCAGTGAGCTGCTAGGGTCTGCCATTAATAGCTGCAATACGCTGCTAGTAGTAGAGAGAAGAATCTGGCTTTGCGGACTGTGACCCTCAAAGCTGATGCAGGCAGGCATCTCCTGCTGTGATTAGCTGCTAACAGTAAAATGAACTTATTCAGCTGAAGCTTACACAGACCCCACCTGTTAGTAGAAGCAGAGACTCAAGTTTCATCTCAAACTCCAGTTTCACTGTTTCTTACAAAATAGTCAAAATTGACCTTAGAAATTATATTTCCCAAATTTGTCCCATATCCCATAATCTCAATACCAGGAGAGTTTCCATTTCCAAGCCAGACACCTCAGTTATTGGAGTCACCCTTCTTTCCATTTCCCTTAGTATCCAACCAATCACCAGAGCTTTGTACAGGCTTTCTTCTCTTCATTTCATTTTTTACTTTCTTGATTTCAGTTTGATCTGTGTATTTGTGTCCATTTGCCCTGGGAATTGCCTTGTCCTCTTGATGGATCTCTTCTGCCAC